TGCTTCACTAGTGATGTTACTCAGACTAGAATTCGAACTACCTACTCTTACGTAGAAAGATCGCCCACTTAAGAAGTCAGATTTTCAGCTAAATATCTGCCTCTCTATGCCGACGGCCTTTAGATTGATCAACAATAAGTGATGGTTTACAGAGTCCAATGTCTTAATGAAGTCAAGGTGGTACACCTCTGCATTTTTGCCTTTATTCAACCTATGAGTTACTTCATCTAAGAAGCACAAGAGATTAGTGAGACAATCTGTTTTTCAGGAGCCCATGCTGAGCACGGCACAGCATAGAATGATCCACTTGGTGCTTATGCATATGGACCCTGATGATCCTTTCCAACACCTTGCAAAGATTGCTAGTCAGACTTACCGGCCTGTGGTTGTTTTTTTCTGAACTGGGCCCCCTTTGTGTATGGCTACCACATCGGCTGTTTTCCAGTCCAGTGGTAGAATACCTTGTTCTAGGCCTAGCTTAACTAGCTGACACAGTGGTCGAGCTACGATTTTCGCTAAAGGTTTCACAATGGCTGGATGAATACCGTCAGTTCCAGGCGAATTGTTCATATTTGAACTATCTAGATGGTCCTTAACCATATCTTCCGTTAGACGCAAATTGTCTATAACAACCGGGGAAATTTCTGGATCACAGATGATGGGTGTACCGTTGTCAGCACGAAGAACACTGATAAAGTAGATATATATACATACTTTCGCGCATTATACCTCTCCGCATATTCATTCGCCACATGCTGTTTAGCCCCCTCTCCACTTATCAGCTGGTTTTCACCCCAGACTGTCGGGTTTTGCCTTCTTTGTTTCAGATTCGGTTGGCTTGAGCCTGACGAAGGCTTGGGGTTTACACCCACAATGGACAATCTGGCTCCGGCAGTGGTTGTTGGACGCGGTTGTATGGACCGTTTGAACTACACGCATCCGCATTCCGGACCAGGTTGAGGATCGCATCTGCCTCACCTAAAAAGTGTTTCAAGGTTGGGTGTCTAGCGTGTAGTGAGTTCCACATCAGAGCGACCAACGCCTAAATAATCCAAATCAGTCCATTACCGATCGAAGCCCCGAGCTCAATGAATGTGCTCTCAGAAGCAAGCTGTGTTGCAGCAGACGGAGAAACATGTACTTTGACGAATGTATTAACTTGCTTTACTCCTCCTTCCCTTTTATTTTTATCCGCGAGTCTCCATCTCTCGTTCTTTGTTTCACTGACCGTCGATCCGTGTTTTCTCTCAATAATTCCACACGTCTAATCCTCTCGGCAAAATGTTCGCTCTTCCTTTAACTTCCATTGACATGCTTATCCAGTAAATTCCTTCATCCTCCACACCTACGTCTGCGACTCTTTCCCCCTTGTATTCCGTTTCAATTTCGTTTTCGTTCCGCTCCCCCACCGTCTATCTTATGTATATCTCCTAATTGACCCTTCTGTAAAACTGCACTTTTGTTGTACATATGATTATTTTGAACATTTGATCATGCTTTGTGCATGCTTCACGGGCTTCGTGAAATATACATTGTCATTATTATTATTAATATTATTATTATTAATAACTCCGACCCTGTGTGGCGGGTCATTATTATATACAAGGACGAGGAGGGGGCCAAGGACGGAACCTTGCGGAACTTCGGTGGAAATGGAAGAATCAGATGAGAGCGATGAACTTACGCGGACCGAGAAGGTGCGGTTCGTGAGAAATTCATGAAGTATGTCCAGGAGTATGCCAGTGAGGCCATATGACTCGAGTTTATAACAACCGGAGGAGTTTCCGTGAACCGGGTTACGGATGCAGCGTTGTCCGTACGATGAACACTGCTAAAGTAAAGACTTAGTGTGTCCGCCTTGCTGTTGTCGTTCGCTGCGACGGCTTTCCCCTGGTCTTCAGCGGCCCCACGCCATCCCTGAGTAACCGTTTAAATTGCACATACCCGTAACATTTCTTAGGATGATCCTTGGTGCATTTGACCAGCCTAAGCTGATAGTTGCGTTTCGCTGTTCGCGCCACGTCGACCGCTGAGTTCCTGAGGGCTGTGTAGCGCGTCCAAGCTAGGCGGCTCCCAGAAATTCTGTACAAGCGTCAACTTCGGTTTCTACGGTTGATGGCCTTGTCTATCACCGCTCGCCACCAGATCGGTTTGGTTAGGTGTCGTCTGGGTTTCAACGGTGCGAATTCTATTTGAAATATGTGCAGCGATTGCTTAATTACTCCCCATAACCCTTCCATGCTGGTTACTTCGTCGTCCCATGCTAATTTAGCCGCTATGCTACGGAGAAGATCTACGTTTATGGTTCCAAATTCTCTAGCCATTTTAGTGGTCGCTTTCGGATGCTGCATGCAGAATGTAAGTTTTATGCATACATGATCACTCTTACCTAACGTAGGCAGTAGCTTCAATTCTAGGACATCCGTAGGGTGCCTCGTAATCACCAGATCTGGTAGTTAGGGGAGGCAGCCAGTCTTGTATATGGTGTTTTCTTTATCGTTTTGCCTCATTGCCTTTTCATGGAGCCACTCCAGGAATGCCTCTTTTTGTGTTCCTGAATGACTGGTTTCAAGCTCCCAATCAATATTTGGCATGTTGAACTCACCCACTATCATATTCTTGCCGGGTTCCTTCACCAGGTCTGTAAAGACGCGGAGGAGGTTAATGTCCTCTTCACGACTCGAACTAGGGGACCAGTAGATGCATGTCACATTAACCGTACTCCTCGGAAGGATTAGTGGAACAGTGTAGGTCAACCAATTCTCACTTGAGTGACGCGTAGCCGAAATCGGTACGAATCCAGAACTAAAACACAACTGATCCGTAATGTTCTACGGTACTGAAATTAGTGAAGTCATTACAAATGTACAATAAAGCAAACCTCAAATATGCGGCCAAAAGCACTCAAGCAAGCGAGCCAAACATGATGTCCAGATAGAGCCAAACAGACGCTCACGTTCCCTGACCACACAAAATTCAAATATGCTGGGTATCGAATTAACAAATAAATAATAATGTATGGTGTTAGTGATTGCGAAATGCCAATAGAGAAGCAACACACAGATAGAGTTATGTCACCATAAATCATCATGGGTTTGGAAGGATTTTCAAAAATTCAACATGAAATGCAGACGGTGCATACTTGAAGATTATTGGTGCATACCCTGAACTGGGATTCGCGGTGGCTGATGCCCTTCCTAATGAAGATGGCTACTACCCCTCCCAGACAGTCATGCTCTCTGTCCTGTCTGTAAATTGCATAGCTCTCTTGAAAGTCCCGGGGTAAGTGGTCATTCCAAGTTAACAAAGTTTCGGTGACCGCAACTACTCCTGCGCCGCATTCGGGGGCCACCCTAAACAGTTCCATTCATTTGTTACGTATGCTGTATGCATTGGTGTATACCACCACTTATTCCGTTCTCCGTCATTCATTTCCTATAATGCGTAGGTTTTTCGGTGCCTCGGGAACTACACCCGAGGGGACGCCGAGGTTTTGCAGTCAAAGGCGGTGTTGACTGGGATCTCCGACGGGTTATGATGTGCAAGTCTCTTCTAATGGGTGTTGCTAGAACTATATCCCTCAATTATTTGCTGTTGTTTTTAACTAGGTCATTGTCTGGTTGGTTGCAGCTTACCCAGGTATCGTCCTCCGGTAAGTGTTCTATAACAACTACTCCCGTCGGAGCGGTCGTGACCGGTTATCGCTCCACGGGTTGAGGAATCCGTCCAGAAAAACAACTCTCTTGCGTTGGGCATTGCTGTCTTTACGACCTACAGGACTGACTTCGTTTTCTCGTCTGGGTTTTCTGCGCATAATTCTCATCCGGCCTGATGTCATACCCGCTCTTCGTTATCTCGGCGATTGCTGCTGTCTTGGTTAGCACTTTGTCCTTAACGGCCTCACTATAAAACTCGACTAAGATTGGCCGCGCGATTGGCGTCCCGGATTTTGCGAGCGGGGGTTTCCATACACCAATTCGCTGGACTCGTTTAAAAGACACGGGGAGTGGAACCCCTGCAATTCGCAGTACGTCGAACATTTGCTGTCTATCCATGTATCTTAGGGACTTAGACTCCCTAATGAGAGGTTCTTCGCGCTTTATTATCAGGAGTCTACGGGTGGCATTTCTTTCCATGTTATTAACTTGTCCTTCGAGGATACCAACTTGTTTTCTAGCTCCTGGTAGCTACAATAGGGCAATTAGTGGAGCCTTGCATCTTGTGGATAGGCCTCATATCGCTACTCACAAGATGTTTTGATTTCAGCTTTGAAATCACTTCTCTGGGCTGTGCTATAGGTTGTTTGTGGTTGGGAGTGGAGGAAGCTAAAGCACCGTTCCCTACTGAATTCGACTTGCTGTTTACCGGGCTTTGCGTTTTCAGACCAACACCCTCAACCAAAACCAGATTACCTACATTTGTGTTTCCTCTTTTCGCGGCTGAAACTTAGGCGTACGTCATCACTCTGTCTCGCGCGACAGGTGCATCACCTTGCACTGCTACTGGTGTGTGCTGTGCTGAGACTACCTCTGATCGTGCCGTAACCAGCGCATTTTCAACTGATCGAAAGCAATCCACGAGGGCGTTTTCCGTTCATATTTTCTTCACAATCAACTCTGACTCCAACTGTGATACTCCTTTGTTTTACTTCTGTTTGTTTTAATGAGCACGGATTTCCGCTCAGGTGTATGTATAAGCTAGGTCCTATCCAAACCCACGCAACTCGTGTGACACACTTTCGCTTTGCTACTGCATTTATTGCTTGCATTGTTTAGTCGTGACATCGGTACGTATTTGGTACTATCTAGTACCACAATACGCAACTGAACGTCTTTGAATCCCACAAGTGTTTTTGTCTTCCTCGGGCAACGAGACACTCGGAGGTAGTTTGAGATTCGTAAGAAGACTTATCGACAGACCGTTAACGGTGATTAGCTTCATTGGTGAGCCCACAACGTCTACTTTGGAAGTTAACTCCAATTTGGTTTGTACTTTTTCCCATGATGCATTTTCATTTGCAAGATGTACTTATTTATCGCAATGGTACGATCGCCGAGGAGCGTAAACCATTAAGCGTTAGGGAACTGGACCTATCGGCTATTAGTTTTAAGCCAGTAGCTTTCATGCCTGACGAGGTGTGGTTTGCTGCATTAGAAGCGCAGTTTATCACCAGTAACGTGCGGAGCCAGCGCTCCAAATACGTTCACTCCGTAGACGCGATCCCTGGCGACCTAATGTCCGCCATTAGGGATATTATCCTTAAACCGCCGGAGGAGAACGCGTACGATGCTCTAAAGGCTGCGATCCTCCAGTTCTACACCCGCTCTAACGAGGAAAGATCACGCCAGTTGCTGGCTCGTCACCCAATTTTTGGTATGACGCTAAGCAGGCATCTGGCGCGTCTTCGCACGTTAGCCGGTCCAACAAACGCCCACTCTGACATCGTCAGAGAGCTGTGGCTCGAGTCATTGCCACGTCACGTCCAACTGACAGTAACGGCTTTGCTGGAGGACTCCTCGACTGACAAGGGTGCGTCGATTGCCGACACGTGTAGATATTGAGGATAATTTCCTCGTTGCCACGACATCGCAACCGTACAGAGGGAATGGAGATAAGTA